CACTGGTCCTGAAGGGATCATCTGCCCTGGATTCCCTGTGCTTCCCGTTCCTATCTGTACCAGTGTCCATCCTCTGGTCTAGTCAGATTTGTCAGGTAGAACGGGGATCATGATAGTCGGAGGGGGGAGGATGCATTAAAGAACTAGAGGAAAGTTGTGTGCTTCCTCGTTGCTACCCTGCACCCTGACTGGCTCGTTGGATAGTTCTACCTTTTCCCGTGGGGTTGCTCTGAGTCGGCACCAACTGGATGGCAGTGAGTTTCTTTGTTTCTTACTTTCTCCTTTTTGGAAGAATATGACAGAAAATATACTCCCCCCCGTTCCTATGAAAGGCCTAGCCCAGATCTGTTGGAGCTCATTCTGATTCTCCCTGTCGCCCCACTCCTGAGAGCTGTGCCTGTAGCCCTGGACTGTGTGCTCTCTACATTGTCATGTCCTTATTTCTGATGTCAGATGTTTAAGCGTATCTTTATAACTGTAGAAACCCCCACCTAATCCCATGCTTTCACCAGCTGCCCCCCTCTAACTGCCTGTGTGGTTCCTTCTGCAGCCCGAGCTCAGTAACCTGTAACTATTTGCCTGTTAGAGAATCTAGAAACCCAAGCTCCAGCGCTGATCATGTGGTTTGTCTTTCTGGCCTGAGCAGATTTCACGGTGTGTAAACTGTAGTAGGAGCTATCAGATGTAGACCAAGGAGCCCAGTCTCAGTCCCAAAGGCGGTCAGCCCTCTTACCAGGTTGGTGACCCTCCAGGAGTCAGGACAAAGGCCAGAGTTCTCTTTGTCATTTCATGGTGACCCTTAGTGGTGCAGAGGAGAACTGTCCCTTAGGGACTTGCAGGTGGTGTCTTTTCAGAGACCCTTGAGGTGGCTGTAAACTGGCCTCCTTTGGGCTTGGTCATCAAGCCCTTCACTGTGCCACTGAGGAGCCACCACCAGGACTTAGGTGAGATGCAGTTCCTCAGCCCAGAAGTACAACGTGAGCATGTCCCTTGCACTCTGTTCTTCATCTTCTGCTCCCTCTAGAAAACATTGAATGACCCTGTCTGTTGGTTTGATGACTTGTTTTCTTCCTTCACGATTCCAACTTGAGCCTTGCCTTGTTTTTCCTTTCAGCTTGAGATTTACTGAGGGTGCTCGTCCCTCTGGGTTTTCTTATTCCGGGACTTTGCACATTCCGTTGTAATGTCTCTTCCGACACCCACTGTGCTCCTTTTCTTTCTTTCCTGTCTTATGACTGACAGCTTCCTTCATGTACGATGTCCTTGCTATAATGCCTCCGTTCTTTGGTCAGTGCTGTTCAGTGCTTCAAACCGGCTCTTGAGCTGGTCTCTAAATGTAGATGGGACCTGCTCGAGGGTCATACGTTGACTCTCTTACACTTGATGTCGGTTCTAGTCCATCACAATTATCCTCTCTACACAGCTGCCCCCTCTCCACCAGCAAGAAAGACTGCCCTGTCATGCGCCTTCCTTTCCATTGCTGTTATGCCCTAGCCTCTTGTTGCTGCTACTTTGGCTATCCAACGCTCGATGTTGTACTTTCTGTCACACCAGTGAGTTCATAACAATGCAATGATTATATTCAGTGTTTATTTATGAAGTCATCAGATGCAATGCAGGTGAGATATGTGCAACATAAAGTTCTTTCATCCAGGTGTGTTACAGGGTTCTTTGGGGGGTGGGGGGTGGGGGAGAATGGTGACTGACTGCTAATAAATGGCCAAAGGATGTGCCCTTTGCGTTCAGCCTCAGTGCAAAGGCATTCACTTCCAGCCCCCATGGGTCACCAAACCCGCTCCTGCGATCATGGACCTAGATACTCCCCACCACCCCCCAGCCCCCATGGTAGCCTCCTGCCAAATGGACGCAGCTTTACTTTACTTCTTGTGGGAGCCCACCCCTCTGTTTCATGTACTTGCACCTGCTTCTGGTTCTGCTACTGCACCTCTTCCATTCCTCTGATGTCACAGCTCTCTCCGGATCAGGAGGTTCACGTTTTCTCTCCTGGGCAGGCCTAGGTGCTCCTCGTGTTCTTGGCCATGGAAACACCCCAGACTGTCCCGTTGTTGCCAAAGGAAGGGGCCCATAGAGCTACATGAACAATGGAAGCCTGTGATCTGGCGTGCTGGAACAGCATCTGCTTTACATGCAGACACCCTCAGAATGGAACCTGACCTTGTGCCTGGGAGGAAGCTTTAGCCAGGGCAAGAGTCAAAGGCCAAGATCCTGGCACTCCTTCCTTACTCAACTGTCTCCTTCCATTTCAGGTCCCAGGTGTGTGAACGGAGACCTGGGTTGTTCTAGGCACCTGGAGACCAACGACGACTGTCTTGCTCACCCCCGGCAGCCCCAGTCTGCCTTTTCGCCATTCTGACTGTGGACCAGGCAGCATCCATCTGTGCCCAAACCGCCGAGTGGCTCTGCTTCCCCTCCCAGCACTGCGACGTGAGTTCTGGGGCTCAGCACAGTCAGCACGATTCTAGAAGCTGGAGTTGGGATGGTGAGTGCTATAGAGAACAGGGCTATGAGAACTAAGCGTAGAGCCTGCTTAGAAATAGTATGCGCCTATTACTGTTGGCCCTGGAGTTCCTCCGTAAGGTGAACAAGTGGCAGAGCAAGCCAGAGTCTGAGCGCTATAAGGCATCCTAGGACTCAGCTCTACCATGTCTGGGACTTTCCTGTGGGCGTAGGTGGTTTTACAAGTCTTGTAAGTCTTGGGTTCCCTCTTTGTGTGGCTCTCATGTGACCCTTAGAGCCATTGTCATAAGGAGTCACCATCCTCCTCCTGGCTCTTGGCTCTCTGTACAGTGACAGAAATGCGTGAGCAGAGTCTAAACATGTAGTTACCCTTTTGGGGGAACCTGAGCCCCAAGTCCTCCAGAGCCATCCTTGTCCCATTTCTGCAAATAATTTCTTGCCCTCCCCCAGCACCCCTACCTTGACACTGGAGCCGTTTCTGTAGCACAGTTCTAAAACAATAGTCCCCACCTCTCCCCCTGTGTGATGTATAAAATGGAAGAGAGTAGCAGCAGGTGCTGACTGTCAATGGGGTCTTGACTCAGCTTGGTCCTCCTGTGAAGTCTTCAATGAATGAGGCACCTGGGACAGTGAGTCCCGCCGGGTCATGTGGGGCCTCTCCAGATCTATCTGACTTGGAGGATGTTATTTCCTATTGGCTTTCCCATGTGGGAGAGGCCTGTTTTCCCGTGTAAGTATTAGTCCAGCTGCCCATCTCTGCTGGAGCTGGTGTCAAATCCCTGTACTTTTCCACTGCTCTCCACCGTGTGGAATGGGAACTGTGGTAAATGTGGTCTTCTCTGCTGGGTGGGCTCATCAATTGAGATGATGTGTTAAATTTTGGGGGTTTACAGTTCCTATTTGTAGAGCATTTCTGGAGCAGTTGGTGTTTATAGTGAGACATTTTCAATTTATTACACATCAGTTTCTCAAATACAGAAAAACACCTGTTTGAATGAATGTAAGTGAGGATTCAAGTAGTACTATTATTTCCTCTCCCACACAGAAGGTAGCTTAGCATTTGAACTATTTAAAGAACATATTTGCCTGGACTTTTTGTAACAGGACATAAAAATTGGCTTGTCATTGAGTTAGTTCCAACTCAGCAGTCCTATAGGACAGTGTTAGACTACCCCTGCGCATTTCCGAGACTAACTCTTTATGGGTAGGAAATCCCATCGCTTTCCCTCAGAATGGCTGTGGTTTCAAATTGCTGACGTTACAGTTCGCAGTCCTCTTTGTAACCCTGAAAACTCAACACTGCCCATCACTGATCTGTTTACAATTCATGGCAACTCTTGATCCATAAGCTCTTTGCAGTTTAATTTGCAATTTTTGAGCTTTCTAGACATTGAATCATAACCCTGCACTGGATCCCATTTGTTGACCCTGAGTGTTTAAAGTAAAACTGCAAACCATAGGATTTTCAGACGTTGGTCTTTTCTGGGCACTTGTATTTCCCCTCCAGACTCAGCCTCCATCCTTTTTTTATGATAGCTGAGCGCTCCATTTTTCACACTATTCAGGGAGTCCACTTAGGGACCCACACCTTAAAGGGAGAGTGCTCCCTGCCAGTGCCCTGCTTTGCTGTCTGTGTCCTGAGTCAACTTCCCTCCCAACTGGGTGGGCCTTTCCCAGGGCTGCCTTATCTTTTTGTCTTCCTCTTTCGTGTGCTCCGATAGTGACACTTTATTGTTGAATATAGTAAAGCTCCAGATATAAGCTACGTGTGTGTGAGTACAGTTGGAGGTGTGGTGTACGTGAACAAAGGCGCTTGGTGTCATAGTGGGTTAGACATTGGGCTGCTGACTGCTAAGTGTGCTGTTTGGACACACCAAAAATGTGCAGCAGAATGATGCGCCTGCCTGCTCCTGGAAAGATGTACAGTCCTGGGAACCCGATAGGGCAGGTGTTCCGCTGTCTGATAGCTTGCTATGAGTTGGGCTAGATGCGTTGTCAGGGAGTTATGAGTTATGTGAGGACAAGTGCAGGCCTTCTTCTTCACAATTTCTTGGTTATTTGTGGCTAAATGTAATTAGATACACTTTTTTGGAATCTTGTGAAATACAACAAGAATTGGGACGATTGGAAACAATGGTCTATTGGTCGAGGACGGTTGCTTTGGAGCATGCGACTATTGACAATAGTCTGTGTTGATAGTATTGTCTCTTTACGTCTTAATCACACACCTTTCTGACCCCTCTTGTCCTTATTAAAATGTATTTGCTCAAGCTTTGAGCAAGGGTTTGACTGCCCTTAAGAATACCAGGCACACTCCCACCTTCAACTCGGTGTTTTCACTGAATTCAATGACTTAGACTACAGAGGCCACAGGACGAAAGACTGGATTCTAAGTGGGGGGGTCGCATGATTTCAGAGCAGACGTTAAGGTATAGCCTGTGTCCCCCCGTTTTGAGGACAGATGTTTTCCTGTCACTCCGTGCCCTAATTATTTGGGGCCATTGCAGAGAATACCTTTGTTGTTCTTAGATGCCATCCAGTTGACTCCAAACCCTACTGACCATCTGTGCCCGTGGTGGTATGAACTGCCAACCCCAAGGTCAGCCTTCGGAACCCACCCACCTTGCTCAGTAGACATTGATGTGTACTCCCGTAAAGAGCATCATGCTATCGTGTCCCATCAGGTCTGCACGAATCAGAATGGACTCAAATCACAGTGAGTTTTTTGGTTTTATTCTGTGTACAACAGTGGCAGGCCTGCCCTGTGACCAGCATCCTCTGATTTCAATATGGTAAACTTTTTTCTTGGAGACCGGAATGGCGACTGCCTCGTTCTTCACATACTGGACGTGAAAGTCTCCGTTTGCATTTGGCATCATATCTAGTGCCTGTTGTGATATTTACTTGATACATCAGTCCTGTGATCCTTACTGTTTGCTTTACTTACCTGCTAGTGTTTCTTCTATGGAGCAGGTTCATGCCGTGTTCAGGGTCACAGTGAGTTAGAATTGTCTTGACAGCACTGCATTTGGGTTTTGAGGTTCATAAAGGAATGAAAATTAGGGCTGTGAAGACCTTAAAGTATGTCACCTGTCACACTGCTATGGAGGAGATTTTGAAAGCAGCTTGGCACTGGCGGGCCAAGTCATGCAATCTAAGCCACCTTTTTTTTTTTT